AATAATGTGTGAAATATATATTATAAATAATATCCGAATTTTATTTTTAAAATTATCGAGTGAACCGAGCCATTTTATTTTGGCTATATCGATTGAAAAATCGAGAAATCGAGCCCATGAAAGATGAACCAAACCTTCGGCCCAACACTTGAAACCGCGCGACTCGGCCTGGCTGACCCCAAGCCCGAGTTTCCCTTTTCTGTTTCATGCGTGTGTGTTGTGTTTTATTCTTGTGGATCAAGAAATAAAACCTAGTGATATACGTACGTATATATATTTTCCCTCTCGCTCGGCATCATCTCAGTTATCGAACCCGCAACTTTTTTCTCCTCCCCAAATCTGAGATCTCGTTTCCTCTTCACTCTCGCTCTGTCCTTTTTCTTTTATCGATCATCCCTCCTTCATAATCCGGTCCCCTCTCATCATCATCACCCTCTCGTTTCTGTCTGTTCTTAAGGCGCCACCATCATCCCGCCATCTGCTCATAGCGAAGCCACCTTCATCACCGAGGCACAACAGCCGCAAAGCTATTCCCGGCGACCTCTGTTTGCGAAATTCCGGCGAGTTTGATTCTCCCGCGAGCAGTCCACAAGCCCCGACGACGCAACCTCCTTTGTCCGTGATCCTCGCTGCAGCCCTACAACGCCGGGAGCCATCGCGAGTTCCCGTTCACGCGCAACCTCCACATGTAGCAATTCCGGCGATCCTCCGCTTGTACAGCAACTCGACGAGCGACACCTTTACATCGGAACACCTCAGCGGCGATCTTGAACGCCGTGCAGCACCTGTACTTCCGACCACGAGCCGCTGTCCTACCTTCGCGAGTCTAGCGAAGCCGCCGTGCACCGCCGCTAGCCACCGCAAGCTCGCCCCTCACCTTTTTGTTCCGTTTTTCCGAGCTTTTCCCGAGAACAGTACCTAGTCGAACCCCATCTCGTTAAATCGTATATATTGTTTGCGTCATGTGTCTGATTGACGTGATGTGCTTACTTTGCGATTTAATGTACTCGATATGATATTATGTGAAATTGGAAATTAATGTGTTGTTTGTGTTTTTGGGGGTCTCTTCGATTATAAGGGATCGAATGAGACCTTAAAACTAGTGTAAGGCTATGGATTTTGGAACCATGTCGAGTCCTTAGCGTTATGGGAAGGCCTCGGGCGAGAATTATATGTTATGTATCACGTGTGAACTTATCGAGCTCGTTTACTCGTTGATTTAGTGTTAGAATTATTAAAAATCGCACACTGCTCGGATTGCATTGAAATTTTAAGGGTCATGTCTTCTGCTGAGCATCAAGCTTGTGTAAAAATTTCATAATTTTTCATAGGCCTGTAACTATTTTAAATAAATAAACTGATTTCTGGTCAGAAACTTGTTAAGTGCATTATTAATTGGTCCGTGCTTTAATTATGCTGAAATTTATTTATGTTATGCCTCTTACATTTCTATATGATGTGTAAACTTTTTAGTATTTTTGGGCCAAGTTTGATAGGGTAAATAATTTATTTTCTGATTCGGTAGAAAGTTGTTTTAATAATGATAAATTGGCCAGTTGTTGAAAAATTCTGATATTTGGCTGGAGTGCTTGTTTCATGTGGAATTTTATGATGTTAAAAAATTAGAATTTTGTGGAGTTCAAATTTGTGCGGTTTTAATTAAAATTTGATAACTGCTGAAACTTGTATGAATTTTTAAAATTTGTACAGGAAATGTCCATGGTTGAAATTTTTATATGTTGTTTCTCTCATGCTGTAGTTTGTGGTGTTAAAATATCAGGTTATAATTCGTTCATTAGGTTTAGATGTAAATTTGTGTTCGTTTTTGCTGTTATCTTGTATGAATTTAATTAAATCATGTACTTTGAATTTGAGGCTGAAACTTGGTGGTTTTTCTATATATTGGGAGGTGTATTTTTGATTAAAAGTTCAGAGTATAATTAATAGGGCAACCTAACCTAGTTGGTTTCATGTGATTATTGGTTATTATTTTCAAAATATGATTTTGAAGTTAAAATCTGTAATCGACTTGCTTTCCGTTTTCTTGTGTGTTTGACTTGGTCAATCCTTAGTTGGATTATGTGAACTCCCCATATGTGGTTTGGTTGAGTGTTTTGCCGAGTCTAAGTGTTCCAACGTCCACAGGACTTCACGAACAACTTAGTCGAATCAAGTTCGATTAAGTCAGATTTGTGTTTCCCGTTTAAGTCAAGATAGATATTGATTGTAGGATCTTGACTTAATGTAGGTGTTTGAGGAGTCAAGCCTCGACCTACGTCCTTTCTGATTTTGCTATCGTCAATCCGGAATCCAAGTGGGTTAGTTATTCTAAAATACCTGTGCAATGTGTGTTTAAATATGTTTTTCGATTTGGCGTGATCTATGTATGAAAATGAACATGTAGCCTATCGATGTGAGCTGTTACGGCCGTCGGTACAGTTGTCCCCGTCGATGTAATACGGTTGCCCGTTGCGAGGCAAGTCTCCTTAAGACCTAATGAAAGGCCGTGCCCGTTGCGTGGCATGTACTCTCGCTGTTAGGGTAATGAATCCCCTTTCCGCGACTAATGAAAGATGTATACACAGGAGTATTTATGTTTATGTTATGTTGGAGATGAGACATATGAGATATTGTTTATGTTCATGCTGCGACCATGTCTATTTAACATATTATAAAATGTGTATTGCATAGTGTGAGTACGATATTTCCAACATTACTCACTCCCACCTGCTCTTCACGGATGCAGGTTAAGAAGTTGGCGGGTGACGAGACAAGGCGAGTGGTGGTGTTGCCTGTTATTTTATGCTTATTGATTTGTTTCCATTTTTTCATGATCTTAAGTTGGTTTAGTGACCATGATGGTTATTTGGATTTGAAAAACATGTTGATTTGAGCATTTTGAAAATGTTTTAGATTTGGTTTATGTTGAGAGACATGTCTTTGATATTTATGACGCTTATGCTTTTATTTAATTGTTATTTTTGAACTTGATAAATGTGTAGGTTCTTTCTGGTCTATTTTGTATATTTGATAAATTGCTCTTGAAAAAATAAGTAGCGCCCTTTGAATTTTAAACTTAAAACGAGATTTACGAAAAATTAACATTGATTTTTATTAATTAAATTCGATAAATCATTTAAATAACGCGGGGCGTTACAATTTCGGTCCTTCAAATTTGTTGTTTTTTTCGTTTCTTATTTCAGCATGTTTCTTTATATTTATGCAGCACAATCAATTATGGAAGTGAATTGCCTCTTGCCCAAGGAATAAACTTTGGATAGGTAATTATGAAGAGCAATCAAATTTGGCAGGATGAAGCAAATTAGTAACTTTGTCAAGGCATGTTTGCTTGCTTGTGTTAAAGTCATTCACAACCATTCCCAAATCTAATTCATTAATACACCATAAAATAATCATTTTATTTATTTTTTTCCATAACTTGTAGATAAATACATAAAATAAATATTAAAAAAAAATTATAAAATATTATTTCTCAATAAATAGATTATATAAAAAATTGAATGTTATTATGTTACTTAAATTAGTAAATATAAAGAATATTATAATTAAATATAGTAAAATAATTTTATTTTTCATAAAGTTAGAAAATAATACATTTCTCCATAAATTCTAAATTATTAATTATATGAACTTAAAATACTTAAAAAATTAATAAACGTGAGACACTGACTCTATAAATATGAATATAATCGCAATAATATAAAATTTATTTTGTTTTTAAAAAATGAATCAAATATATGAAGTTGTAAAAATATCAGTTTTATACATATATAATAAGTTAGAAAAATATTATAATATATAACATGTAAGTCGTACAAGTAACAAACGTCATTCTAAATATAATAATATATATTTTTTGTAATAAATTATTTAAATTTTAAAATACTTTTTCTAATTAATTCCAAATTTNTTATTCCACAAAAAAAAAAAAAAATAAAATAAAATAAAATTATCCACTTTTTTCATTAGTTTTTATGCTGGAATAATTTAATTTCCAAAATAATACAATGGGTCTTCCTATCCTGTTAATCCTAGGTATTTAGCTTCCATAAGTCTTCCTTTAGACGAATTCTCCATATAGGTCGGCTTATTCCATATAGATTCCCCGACCTAGTAACTATAGGTCAACCCACTCTCTCCTAGCTACTATACCGTCCGAGCTACAGATACCTTGTCACTCGAGTTGTTTATATTGTCCGAGCTACCCTATATCCTAGCTACAAAGGTACTGACACCACGCTATACGAGTTGTTGGAGTACCAATCATATATTGTCTGAGGTACCATATATTTGAGCTACTGAGGTATCGACACCACGTTTTACAAGCTACTAACACATATTATTCATATATTGTCTAAGTTACCTTATATCTGAGCTACTGAGTTATCGACACCACATTATACGAGCTACTAAAATATTATTCAACCCGAGCTACCACATGTACGAGCTAAGCTACTAACACCCTTTGGGTCTATCAGAGCTACACATGGTCGAGCTACTAACTCCCTTTAGGTCTATCCAAGCTACACATGTCCGAGATACTAAAATCCTTTGGGTCTATCCGAGCTACACATGTCTGAGCAACTAACATGATATGTTGTATGAGCTACTAGGATACTAAAATCCTACTGCCAATAGAGCTACCTGGGGCCCGCTCATTCGAGCTAACCAAAGCCAACTAATCCGAGCTACACCATGTGCTATTAACACAAGCTAACTGTAGTCGGTTTATCGGAGCATACACTATATGCTATATCAATAATAAACGTATAATTATATCTGATTGTTGATAAAATAATTAAATTACAACATAAAACTAAAAGGTAAAAAAAGGATATATTTTTATTGAAGTTGAAGAAAGTAAACATATAACATTTTATAATAAACAACTAAGTGAATTCATAATATTATTTTAAATTCTAACAACTAATACTAACTCATACACAACATCAATGATTTCAATTTAATGAACTAATAAATCACGTAACTGTAAAGTTCCGACTACTCAAATTCTCCTTTCGTAGTTGAGTCTCTATGCAATCTAGCCAAACATTAATCTGAAGCCCTACTTCTCCATAACACTCTTCTTGTTCCTCTGATATCTTCTTTGCAGAAAGCACGGCAGAGTCAGCACAATCATGCAAGTATATCTCCCTAAGCGTGTGTATATCCCCAATTTCCAATGGGATTTCTTTCAGCTTGTCTAGAGATTCTAGGTCGAGCCTCTCGAGGCGCGGGAAGTGCGTGGCCTCAGCCCTCCACTGCTCCAGATCTCGGCAATGGTGGATTCGCAAGTATTTTAGGTTCTGGAATCCTCCATCGTCTGTTTCCCACTCGGGCCCCACGAACGCGTAAGTACATAGATGGAGCTCCTCCAGGTATGGCAATTTCCCTATCTTTGTCCCCATTTCTTCCCACCCGAGCTGCGTGCCGGACAGATTCAGCTTTCTGAGCGAAATTGGGAATGTGATCATCAAGTACCTTTCCCCACCTGGCCTCGGATCAATAGAGCATGAAAGGGCCTCCAGCTTATGTAGTCGGCAGAGATTGTGGAGACCATAATCGGCCAGTGATAATAATACATTGGAACCAGAGTACCAAAGTCCCAGCTTCTTGATATTGGAGATTCTCTTAATCACTTCCTCACCTAACCTCAAGTTATCTATGCTCTCGAGTGTCTCTAGCTTCTCCAACACCATCCAACCATTTTCTTCATCCATTGGAGGAGGATTTGTGAGCCGGAGACTCCATACCTTGACGTGCCTGAGTTGGGGCATACGCCAGATGTTTAGCACCGGCCACTTAAAGGCGTGATCAACTATTAACGTCCGTAAATTCCAGAGTCGATAAAAAAATTCTACAGGAAATTCAATCAATCGGACGACCAGGTGGCACAAGTTGACAGGAAGAAAAAATTCCAGTTCAGAATATTTATTTCTGCAAATAAATCCATTCACTACTCTAAGCAATCGAAAAGGAACTAGAGATGGTAAGGTTCCATCAACGATACATATCAGAGTTCGCACGCGTGATGCTGATTGCACAGCTTCAGGGAGTGAATGGGGAATATACTTCCTGGCTTGGTGAAAGCCGATACGACGTTGGGTGAGCCAACTTTGGTCGTGGTCGTCAATGTTGTGTGTTGTTTCCGTTGTCGTGCGGAAGAATTTGTATTTCTCGGCTTCCTTTATGCATAGGTCTCTCAGGAGATCGTGCATTCCGCACCGTTTTATTCTTCGGGTAGGGCCCAACTCACGAACCAATATTAGGTTTCTGAGGATGAGATCATGTAGGTACACTACTCTCGCAGCGGTTTCCAAGCTTTTACCAGCAACCGGTTTAACGAATCCTTCAGCAACCCATAGCTTGAGGAGCGTGGGGACGTGAATCGAGTGATCTTCCGGGAACATGCCCATGTAGAGAAAACACGGCTTCAGGTGGACTGGTAGTTGATTGTAGCTCAACTTTAGTATTCTAAAGCAACGCTCGTCCTTCTCTAAATTCACAATCGAGCTTAAATTTTCTGCAACGTGTTTCCAGTTTTCCCGTGTCTGTTCAGACTTTGCTAGGAGTCCTCCGATCACGACAATTGACAATGGAAGGCCTCTGCAGTTCCTGGCAATGTCCTTACCAATCTCTTCCAGTTCCGGCGGGCACCCTTGTTCCTGAAACACAAACCTACTCAGCAGATTCCAACTTTCGTCCACCTTCAGAAAAGGCATCTGAAAGTAGTCTGGGCCATCCAGTTGCAAAGCTAGTTTCGATGGCCTAGTAGTTATTAGTACTTTGCTCCCGTTGTTGTTAACCGGAAAGAAGCGCTTGACCCCGTCCCATGCGTCCGTACCCCAAATGTCATCCATCACAATCAGATATCGTCGGCCATATGAGCTCTGATACAGTTTTTTTCCTAATTCTTCATGTTCACTGTCCTCACTCCCCATGGTTTTTTTAAAACAGTCGAGGACTTGTAACAATATCCTTTTCGAATCAAATTCTTGAGAGACTGTGGCCCATCCGCGAATATCAAATTGTTCCACAATAAGTGGATTTTCGTAAATTCTTTTAGCAAGAGTGGTCTTACCAATACCGCCCATGCCGGCAATCGCGATGATCCAACGACCGGATTGTTTATTGGTCAGCTTATCCATGATGTCGTTCATGACATCATCGGAACCCACTATCGTGTCGTCCCCCTCCGAATAAGGACTGTGGTTCAGCTTAGCCATGATGCCGTTCATGATATCATCGGAACCCAGCATGGCGTCATTCTCCGTGGAAGAAGGAGCAATTTTTTTCCCCGCCTTCTCTTTAACAGCAGCCACGTCTTTTGTGATGGAATCCAAGTCGTCCATCACTGTCTGCAGCTCTCCATACCAAGACTCGTCGTCCTTTGAACTGGTGTTAGCTTCACCACGAGCCTCAATATGATCGGCAATGTAGGACTCAATTATATCCTCTGCCTCGTGAGCCGCATCAATCATACGGCCCTCCATGACATCTGCATCATCAATAATATAGTTTTCAAGAAACTGCATCAAGAAAGCAACCATTTGGATAAGTGGTTTGATTTGTAGTTTGTCGAGGGAAGTGGGTGGGCGAGGGTGATTTTGGATTTGCTGTATGGTGTTTGTAAGAGAAAGCAGAGCGCCATAGGCTGCCATGGTGAAATGGAATCCAATTAGCTTGTAGAGAATGGGCAAAGAAGACAAGTGAAAGATTTTTCTCAAAGACTGGTAGAGAAGGAAGAAGAAAGAGGCTCGGATGAAATGTTTATGAAGTATGATAGATTAGCTCTACGCGTTGACCATGTACGTGCTCCAAGTTGTATTTAACCACTATTTTTTGTCCACTTACGTATAAATATGTGCCCAACTTACATTATTTCTTTGTAAATTCAAAACATGATGAGATAATGCAAATAAAAAATTATGTTATTTTGATAAGTACCTTAATAATTGTTTATTTATGATAGTTATGTTTGCATCTATCTTTAGTTGGCACTGGCAGTGCACATCTCAGATACGTTTGGAGATTTCATCAAATTAATCTTTGAAAATCGGGAATCTTCTATGTAGGATTTCCGAAACTGAACTGATTGAACGGAAGAACGTACAGGTACAAGTGCAACATGTTCGGTGAAGTTAAGAGAATTATATATCAGGATATGATTAATTCCCTCTATTTATACATCTGATTTGTCTATCATTCTCTTCAATTTTTTTAAGTTTAGGTGGCAAGTGATTTCAAGAGCTACATTCTAGCAGACACTGAAAGAAGCCATTGAAATCAACAGTTCCGTGCCCCAAGGTCGCAGTAGCTCCATCTTCACACGCAGACCTGAAATTATATTCAAATGGATTGGGTGAGCAGTTCAAAACAATTCATATAGCTGTTTCATTTATCAGGAATAACTCTGTCAGGCACCATAGTGTTTCAAGCGGATGCATTGAAACTAATCCCTATATATATATATTTATTTACTCGAGAGAGATGTAGAAAACTTGGAAAAATAATTATGGTCACATAGTAAATGTTATAATTTGGATTGACGGCAATATATAATTGTAAAAATATAAATATTTACATATGAAAGCAATTATAATATGAAAGTTAAGGTAAATAAGATCGTGGAATGTAGCGTTTAGTGATTATTTATCAATTAAAATATAATTATATACGACCTCCATTCATAATAACCAAAGCTTTGTCACTAATAATTTAATACCTAATGTATGCTGTTTTAGATTAGACATTGTTGTACTAGTCCCATATACAAATCATTTAAAAAGAAATAATATAAATGATATAGCCATCTTATGATATACCGGTCCAAGTACTTATTACTCGACCAGGATGGTGAGTCGAATCGTCCGAATGACGAGTGGATAGCCCCAAAGTCGACAATACCTATAGTCGACTCTTCTTCATATATTTACCGAAGGGAGAAGGTGATATTGCCAGTCCCAAACTACTCGACCGGACGACTCACCACAACAAAAGTCGACTAGTCGAGGAAGGGACAAGTCGACTTTACTCCCTCAAGGAGCCTTACTCCTCGAGGTCGACTTAAGCACCTTGAGGAACCTCAATCCTCAAAGTCGACTTGAGTCCCTCGAGGAGCCTCGGTCCTCAAGGTCGACCCGAGTCCCTCGAGGTCGACTCGAGTCAAGGCGAGGAACAATCACTTGATTTCTATCCCACATAAGTTACAATAAAGAATCTTAAATGGATAAGGTAGAATCTTAAGATGACTCAATTCTGACTAAGAAGTGATTAGGATAACAAATAGACAAGATAATCAGGTCAGGACGGCCCGAGACAACGAGCCAGTCGACCCGACGCATTGAACATTCTAGAGGAATATCTCCATCTATAAAAGGGGCTAAGGCAGCATAAAACCCTAACTTTTACACACTCCATACAATCCATAGCAGCTGCTGCTGCTCTAGGCAGATCTCCATCTTCATTCCCCACCTCGTCGGCAGCCTCGCCGGCGACCGATTTTCTACTAGTTCAGCACCGACTCAAACAAATCCGAGCTCACAACCACCGGTTCACTTTAGATCTGGAAGTAGACCCAACCGATTTCCTACTAGTTCAACACAGATTCAAACAGATACGAGCTTACAACCACCGATTCACTTCAGATCTGGAAGTAGACCCATCAGTAAACATATAGGTTGTAATCACAACCAGAAGATGTGGCAACTCGTAAGAGATACCCTTGAGAATGAGGTTCAAAGCCGCCGTGATTTGTACGAGTACATCTATTTTAGGGATGTCGACGCCGCACTTGGACGACTAAGGTGGGACGGGGGAGCTTGTGGTCGGAATCACTGGATGGAAATTCCATGCGACCTATACACTATTGCTACACTATTTCAGGCGGTCGTCGTTTTGTTAGGCTCTGGTCCCGACGGTACTCAGCAGATCAACACTTACAGTATGACAGTATTGCCGCTCTCTGCACCCCCTACGGCTACAAGACCACGCCGTGAGATTGTCATGTGTGATCTTGGGAACTACGAACACTACATTGGTGTAGATGTGTCTCCTGATTGTCCATTACCGCCTATTCATAGTATGTGGTTGTTGACATTTATCATATTTTCATGCATTATGAGTGATATATTGTGAGATTAGGCCTTGGTTATCGTGTGATTGTGCACCATTTTGTTTGATTTATTAATCTATGATAGAGGTGTTTTTGTCGTTGGTTTTGCAGGAAATATGCCCGGAAAAGCGTTGGAAATGGAATCGGGACGATAAACGGCGAAAACGGGTGCAGAAGAGGTCACACGACTCGTGTGGGTAGTGACACGGGTCGTGTGGGTTGAGAAAATAAAAAATGCAGCTGCGGCTTTTTCACACGGGTCGTGTGGGTTAAGACACGGGTCGTGTGGCCTCACACGACTCGTGTGACCGGGTCGTGTGGCCTCACCACCTCTTGTGACCCGGTCGTGTGACCAGTCGTGTGAGTTTGAAAGTTCGCCGAAATGTTGAGAAAAGTCACACGACTCGTGTGGCATGTGACACGACTCGTGTGACGCGCAGACCTGATCAGCGGGGAATAGGATTCTTGTGCGATTTCTTTCCTTTTTCGACCCAGATTCGCCCGACAGTATAAAACAGACCTGAGGAACTCGTTTTTTGGACTTTTGACACCATTGGAAGCCTAGAGAAAGCACGAAACACACGAGGGATTCGAGGAAGTCAAGATTGAAGATTCGGGAACTAACGGCGACAATAGTTCTTCTTTCTTTTCTCTTTTTCTTCTTCATTGAACTCATGGATTTATTTATTTTGAGTTTTGAGAATATGTTTAGTAGCTAAACCTATTAGATTCTAGGATTTGTTAGTACTCGGATTAATCTATGATTTAGTTTTTATTGCTTTCATTCCGGTTTATCTTTCGTTTATGAATTTCTTGTGGTTATTATTATTGTGTGAGTAGCTGACCACTATGAATGCATATTTGTGATTGATTTGAGACCGAGAGGAGATAATTGATTGCTAGAATTGGGAGGTTTATAACGTAAGAGAATAAACAGACCGAGAGGTTGATAGGACCTTGCGAGAGAACGAAAATCCTAGGAACGAAAAGATGCTCGTGCTCAAGGGTGCAATGATTGCTTACGGTGGAGCTCGCTCGACTTTTCGGTTAGTTACTTGAGATATGCCATTTATTTTCTTCAAACTTAATTCTTTTCCAAAGAATAAGTTTGGGGGAGAGAGGTGTCGTATATCTTGAGTTTTTATCGCTTTATTGCATATCATATAGTTGCTTGCATTAGTTTTAATTTTTTTTTTATGAATTTTTTTTATGCTGTTTTATTTTTTAGGATGCACGTTTACTTGCTTTAGTAGGATATAATAAGAATTTGCTTGAGTCGATTCCTTGTGTATTTCTTTTGCTTTGGCTGAATGATGGATAAAACTTGAATAGTGAATGGTTATTTGATGTGATTGAGGAATTGTGATGGGATTGTGAAAGTCATGCTTAGATAAAAATATTTGTGAATCTTGAATTAATGATATAATGAGCCTAGTGAGACTTGAGCCGTTATTCCTTGTTTGTGTGTGTCAATTGAATATCCGTGTTATTAGAATTTGCCTTGATTCTACACTTGAAAAAAATGCATTGGTGATTGTGAGCTTTAAAAATGATTTAGGCGGTTCTTGAATTTAGCTCGTTTGGCCTTGTTCCTTGTCCTTAAAATTATTTTTCACTAGTAGCCGGTTTGAGCCTTAGGCCTTTTTCTTGTTGACCAGTTTATCTTATTTATTTTGAGAGTTGACTATTGTTTGGGATGTATGAGGATAACGGAGTTATTTATTGGATGATTGGATATGGAATGAGGTGTGATTGAGTTGCATTTACTGTGTTTGACTGAAAAAAAAAAGAAGAAGGAAAAAAAATGATAATAAAGAGAGCTCGCAAGTCGAATTGTTAGAATTCTACTCCTCTTACTAGTTGATTTATTTTGACGTGTAATGAGTAATGGGAAACCACTCTAGGACACTTGGATGACCTCCAATGTTTAGACCTAGAGAATATTGTTCTTGCAGTTTGATTTTGTTTGGAAAAAAAATGGAACTCTCTAAAAAAAAAGGAAAAAAAGGGAGAAAAATGGTCAAGTGCTTCATTTGCAATTTGATTTGAGCATTTATGAGTTGTGTATGGATTATTTTGGTTTGGGAATGAGAAACGGTTTGTGTTGATTAGAGAGGATAGTGGGGTATGTCGAGTAGTCTATTTACTCGAATGGTATGATTGTTTATTCGAGCCACTTAACCCATGTATATATATATCTTACCCTTGACCAAATAGCCTAATCTACAACCTGGAAAAACCTTTTGATTTAAAGCTCATGATTATTGGTTGTGTGTGACGTAGAGTTTTAGATGATTGACAAACATATAGTTAACTGGGTGTTCAATGTGACTTGAGCGTGTCCTTCTCTTTTATATATTGGTGACATGTGAGTGAGGCACTTATATATTCCTATTTGAGAGTTCGTTGATTCAAGGTGGATACAAGTTAATAGTCAAAGCATGATAATTATGATCTTTTGAATTTTTCTTGGTTGCATGGAAGGACTTGAAGTTGTTCTAGTTTGATATCACTCATTATGCTTGAGTTCTGATTTTCTTATTCTTG